TTCTCCAGGTGCTCTGAACATCTTCCCAGATTTTCACTGTGTATTACTAGGGGTGGAATGTCACAATTTTCTTTGTCTTTCTACAGATGGAGAGATTCCCAGAGTTGGCCAACATGACCAGGGTTCAGCAGTTCATCTTGCTGGGATTGTCTACTAGACTAGACATAAGAGATGCGCTATTTGCCGTCTTCCTGACTCTCTACCTGCTGACACTCCTGGAGAACACACTCATCATCTACCTCATCTGCAGTCACAGCGAGCTCCACAAGCCCATGTACTTCTTCCTGGGCAACCTCAGCTGCCTGGAGATGTGCTATGTGTCCGTCACCATGCCCAGCTTGCTTATGGGCCTGTGGAATGGATTCTATCACATTTACTTTATAGCCTGCATGACTCAACTCTTCTTCTTCATTGTTCTTGTAGGCACAGAGTGTATCCTTCTGGCCTCCATGGCTTATGACCGCTATGTGGCCATCTGCCGCCCATTACACTACCCCCTGCTCATGAGGCCCCAGGTCTGTCTGGGCCTGGCTATGACTTCATGGCTGGGTGGGTTACTGGTCTCTATGGTCAAGACCACATGCATTGCCACCCTGTCCTACTGTGGCCCCAACATCCTCAACCATTTCTTCTGTGATGTTTCCCCGTTGCTCAACCTGTCATGTACCCATGTGGCCCTCACAGAACTGGTGGACTTCATCTCAGCCATTGTCATCCTCTGGGGTTGCTTCCTCATGACTATGGCCTCCTATGTGGCTATCGGTAGGGCAGTTCTGGGCATGCCTTCTATCACTGCCCGCTACAAGGCCTTCTCCACATGCGCCTCCCACCTGGTAGTAGTAGGCATTTTCTACTCAGTCACTATCTTCATCTATGCCCGCCCCAAACGCATAGAAGCCATGGATCTCAACAAGATGCTGTCTGTCATCTACACAGTGGTCACCCCCATGTGCAACCCAGTCATCTACTGTCTAAGGAACAAGGAGGTCCAAGTAGCTTTCTACAGAACCATGCACTGGTCCTGAGGTTGACCAAATGTCTAAGTCCTCGGAGAGGGACCTTAAATTACCAATATCTATTTTTTGTCAAAAAAACGATTCAGATACCATAAATTTCACCTTTAAATACCTACAGTGTAGTGTTTTCCTCTTAATTTGTTTGCAATTGAATAATCATAATATTCTGTCAAATTCCGGAATATTTTGTTTGCCCTGAAGATAAACCTGGGCATATTAGAAATCATTCCAAATGCCCACCAGTCACTACTCCACACCCCAAGAAACCAACAACCTGTATCCTATTTCTGTAGATTTGTAGATTCTTGATATTTTATGGTAATGGCTTTATGTCATATGTGGTTATTGTGACTGGCATATTTTGAAAGCTGTACACATTGCCTCATTAACGAGTACTTTATGTCCATTTGTGCCCAAATTACAATCCATTGTATTGATGCTCACTATTCTATGTGCTCATTATTCAGTTAGTGGACATGTGGGTTGATTCTGCTTTGGGGAAATCCCCTGGAACTGGGGTTACAGAAAGTTGTGAGCTACCATGTGAGTGCTGGGAGGGGCTGTCAGTGCTCTTAACAGCTGATCCATCTCTCCAGCCCCTGTGAATACTATTCTAAAAATTTAGAAAGACTTCTATTTATTCTCTGACAACTACATTCATGTATACAGTGTATCTTGATCATATACCCCACCCCCCCTCAAATCCTTGTGCCTTTTCTCCTTTGTGTGCTCTTCCTTAATCATCTGAGCCCAGTGACTGCTGCCTGAATGAGCATGAGCGGCCTGCCAGGGTCCACATCGTAAAAAAAATGGCTTACTTTCAGTGGCCAAGGAGCCCCATCCCCACCCATGTTGACTGGATTGCTCTTGTGTCAAGAACCATGGCTTCTGTGAGTTCATGAGTACAGTGGCTTTGTCACATCCAGAAGATGGCATTTCCCAGCTCTCCTCACCATCCCCAAGCTCTAACATTCTTTCTGTCTGTTATGGTGAACAGGTTTTTGTTGTTGTTGATTTGTATATTTGAATAGGTTTATTTAACGTGGTGTGTGTGTGTGTGTGTATGAATGTGTGAGTGTGTGTATGTGTGTTTGTGATGCATGTGTGCATGCCTACAATGTCCAGAAGAGAGCACTGGATCTCTACAGCTGGAGCTATAGATGGTTGTGAGCCACCTGATGTGGGTGACTTGGACTTGAAATTGGATCCTCAGCAAGAGCAGAATGTGATCTGAACTGTAAGACATCACTTCAGCAACTACAGTAGTATTTTAAATGAAGTTTTTTTTTTTCTTGGGAAGAACTCAGAGGAAATTGGTTTACCTGAAACAACAGATAGTATTCACTCAGTTACTGTTCATAACAATTTAAAGAGCTACCCATGGATGTCGCCAATGTTGGCAGAGACCATTCTGAGGGTGTACACACTGAAACTCCAAAGGTGAATGAGAACATTTTCGAAACAAATTTTATTAGCAATGAAAGATAATTATCAAATTGTCAGGATACCTGAGGAACATTTGATCATATGCATGAAAAATTAGAAATTTTATGGATTCTGTGATGGCATTAGTGTAGGCAGCTTTTACCCAGAAAATAACATAGAATGCAGGCATCTAATGAGCTATGAAAAAATTCATAAGTCTATGCTTTTATTGAAAACATTTCTATTCAGAATATTAACTTCAGAGGTGGAGGCAGGATGATCAGGAGTTCAAGGTCATCCTTAGCTATACAGTGAGTTTGAAGCCAGTCTGGACTTCATAAGTTCCTGTCTCACTATACTACAGCAAGTTCAACTGTGTACAGAATACTCACACAATGGAACACTATCTCATATTGAGATACTATGTCATTAAATGAATTATCTATGTTGTGTGAAATAAATGTCCATCCCTGGGCTGGGGAGATGGTTCAGTTGATACAGCATTTGCCCTGGAAGCCTGAGAACCTGAAACTTGTTATCTCCAGCAAATATATGTATTGCCCACATGTGGAACCTTGAAAATTGGTGACTTTCAAGTCAACTTATGAGCCAGTGATGATAAGAATTTTATTTCACTTTTTCCTCAGTTAATACCATTTAATATTCTCATAAACATAGAGCACACCAATTTCTCTAGAGTAACTGTTAACCTAAACTACTGTTTGAAATAAAAATTTCCAACATCTTGCAGTATGATGAGCAAGTCATTCCATGAAAGATCATTGTTTTATTTTTATCTCCTCTTTGCTTTTTCTTCAGAGAGCATTTCTCACTATGTGTGCTGGCTAGCCTGGAACTTGCTATGTAGACCAAGCTGGCCTTGAACTCCCAGAGTCTGCCTCCAGAGAGCTGAGAGCAAGGGCATGAGTCACCACACCTAGCTTATTTCATTTTTAAAATAATTTACTTAATGTGCTTATAAAGCTAATGCAAACTTAATGCAAAACAGCAAGCATGCAAAATAAAATTAAAAAAAATGTGAGTTTCCCATGGTCCTGTTGATAGACTAAACATTTCTAGCAACTGTTAGCTACATTCCATATCCCTTCGGAATTACTCCTAGATGCATATTAGTGTAAATAATCACCAATTTCACTGTCGCCACCAATCATCTTCCGGGTTGTCTGCCCCGTGTCAGTAACCACAGATCCAGTTCTATCTTTGAATGGTGCACAGCTTTTCACAGTATATATGTTACAAGCACAAATCATCTTCAAGCGGATCTTTGAGATATTTCCAGTCATTTCATTTGTTCACATAATGTTTATTCTAAACGTCATGACATGTTTATTCCAAATGTCACAATTTACAGTAACCATTCTTATACATGTATTTTGTTAACTATTTGTACATGCACATATATGTAGCATATGTGTGTTAGGACACAAAGAATAAATGATAATCTCTCAAGTTTGCATCTAATAGGCAGGATGTCCATCTTCTGGTATTTACTGAGCAGTTATGTTTCTTTATCGATAGAACTATTTTCATTTGGTTTTTATTTGGGAATATTCCCTTCCTTTTTTCTTTATTTCTTCATTCCTTCCTTTCTGTGCCAGCTAGTTTTATGTCAACTTGACATAAACTATAGTCACCTAAGAAGAAGGAACCTCAAATGAGAAAATGCCTCCATAAGATCATACTATATGGAAACCTGCAGGGAATTTTCTTAATTAGTGGTTGATGGGTGAGAACATGGGCCACTGTAGGTGGTTCTGCCCCGGGGATGGTGGTCCTGGGTTCTGTAATAAAGCAGTCTGAGCAAGCCATGAGGAGCAACCCAGTAAGCAGCATTTCTCCATAGCCTCTGCATCAGCTCCTGCCTCCAGCTTCCTGCCCTGATTGAGTTCCAATCCTGACTACCTTTAATGACGAACAGTGATGCAGAGTACACCATATAAACCCTTTTCTCTCCAAGTTGCTTTGGTCATGGTGTTTTATCACAGCTATAGTAACCCTTTTAATTAGTAAAACTTTCATGTTTTTTATTTTGCTTTTTTGTTGTTGTTGTTGTTTTTCAGGACAAGGATACTTTATGTAGCTTTGGAGTCTGTCCTGGAACTAACTCATATAGACCAGGCTAGTCTCGAACTCACAGAGGTCTGCCTGCCTCTGCCTCCTGAGTGCTGAAATTAAAGGTGTGCCACTATCACCCAGAAAGACTCTTTCTTTTTGTCTGTCTTGTGAATTGGAGTATATGCATGCCACTGTGCACATGTGAAGATCAGGTGACAACCTGTGGATGTCAACTCACTTCTTCTATGAAGTAAGACGCAGGGAGTCAGGTTATCAGGCTTGAGAGCAATTGTCTGCTCACTGAGCAATCTTGCCAGTCCCTATAATATTCCTATTTTTCATGTTGATTTTATGAAGTCTATTTATAAAATGTTCCAGAAACTTCTGCCTTGTTTCTCTCTGCCTTTGAATTCTCTTTATGTGTATTTGGCCATGAAATTTTTTCAAACCAGGAGAGGGAGGGCATCAGCTCTCTGGAGAATCTCAGCACAGACGGAGGGTTTTCTTCAGCACTGCCTGGACCTCCCTGTTCCGCAAGCAGTAGATGATTGGGCTACACAGGGGAGTGGCCACTGTGTAGATGACTGACAGTACCTTGTTGAAGTCTGTGGATCTGATGTGTCTGGGCCTGGAATACATAAAGAGGACCACAGAGTAGAAGATGCCCATCACAAGGAGGTGGGAGGCACAGGTGGAGAGGGCTCTGTGGCTGGCAGCAGCTGAAGGCATTTGGATCAGCACCCTGCTGATGGCCACATAAGAGGCCAGAGCAACTAGCAATGACCCACAGAAGATGAGGATGGCTGAGATGAAGTCGACCAGCTCTATGAGAACCACGTGGGTGCAGGACAGGTTGAGAAGAGGAGGCGCATCACAGAAGAAGTGGTTGAGGACATTTGGGCCACAGTAGGACAGACTCGCAATGCATGCGGTCTTGATCACAGAGACCACCAGTCCACCCACCCAGGAGGATGAAGTCAATCCCCAGCAGACCTGAGGCCTCATGAGCAGTGGGTAGTGCAGCGGATGGCAGATGGCTACGTAGCGGTCGTAGGCCATGGAGGCCAGCAGGGTGCACTTGGTACCAATGAAAGAAATGAATAAAAACAATTGAGCCATGCAGGATGTGAAAGACATGTGGCAGGGGCTGGACCTCAGGCCTATGAGCAAGCTGGGCATGGTGACAGACACATAGCACATCTCCAGGCAGCTGAGGTGGCCCAGGAAGAAGTACATGGGCTTGTGGAGCTCGCTGTGACTGCAGATGAGGTAGATGGCTAGCATATTCTCTAAGAGGATCAGCAGGTAGAGGGCCAGAAAAATAACAAACAAACCATCCCCGATGTCTTTCCTGGCAGACAGACCCAGCAGGATAAAATCCTGGTCCGTGGACTGATTGGCCAGTTGCAGAGATCTCTCCATCTAAGTAAAGAAAGACATATGTTCATAAAGACCTTAGTCTGTTCTGAAGTATAAAGGCATCTACGATTAAACTTTCTTGGAGCTGAATCAACTTAGCAAGAGGTTGAGCTACATCAGGCCAAGCAATAAGGAGAAACTGGAAAACTACAAAACCAGAAATGGAAAATTGACACACACAGAAAATTTACTAAGTCTGCCACTTTTTTGAGACAGGGTCTCTCTGTAGCTTTGAAGCCTGTCCTGAAACTAGCTCTTGTAGCCAAGGCTGGCCTCAAGCTAACAGAGATCTGCCTGCCTCTGCCTCCCGAGGGCTAGGATTAAAGGCCTGTGCCTCTGCCACCTGGCAGGTCTACAATTTTAAGCAAGACATCCAACCTTTATAAACATACACTATTGCACTGATAAAGAAGAGGTGAGGGGCAGGAAAGATGAGTCTGCAGTTAAGAGCACTGGCTGCTCTTGCAGAGGACCTGGATTTGATTCCAGGCACCTACATGGCAGCTCTCGTCCATCTGTAACCCCATTTCCAGGTGATCCAATGCTTTCTGACCTCTGAGGGCACCAGGCACACATGTGGTACACAGACATACATGCAGGCAAAACAATCATACACATAATATAAAATAATAAAACCTGAAAGGATGAAGCAGATGAAATCCACCCTCACAAAGCCTTTGGTCCTTATGAATTTTTAGCTTTTGTTTGTTTGCTAGTTTTTTACTGATGAGAATTGAACCCAGGGCCTTGCCCATCTTAGATAAGTGCTGTACCTACTGAGCCACAGCCTGGCCCCTTCATATGATATTTAAGTACAGCAATAAATGAGAATGTGGTTATAAAATAAGGAATGATGCTTATTTTCTTACTTTTGATGACCTTAAATGATTGTTTCTGGGTCAAATTTCTTTCTTCAAAAACCTTCCACAATCTCACAAGTTGTGTGCACTATTTTAAATAAGAGAAGACTTGCAACAGCCTTTTCTGGGCTTATCTCCCTTAAATGGGCTCATCTCTAAAGGGAATGTGTCAATATTAGAAAAAGGTGCCAGGATAATAATCTTTCCATGACACTTTTCCTCTGTGACTACATGGCTCGAGACGATGACAAGGTTAGGAATGAAGTTGACCAGCTCCGTGAGAACCATGTAGGTGAAAGACAGTTTGGGTAGAGGAGAGCATTTAGGTGTATTTGTTTTATGTGTATGAGTATTTAGCCTGCACATATGCATGCTTGGTGCCCACGGAGGTCAGGATAACGCACTTGGAACTGGAACTGTGGATGGTTGTGAGTTGTCATGCAGGTGCTGAAAATGGAACCTGTGCCCTCTGCAAAAGCAACAAGAGCTCTTCAGCATTGAGCCATCTTTCCAGCTCCTTGCCTCAACTAGAACAATACAGCAACTAAGACTCATAAAGCCTGGGTGAAGGGAATTCTCCCAGAATGACAACAGTTGTGTGTGTGTGTTTCTGTTTTTCTCTGAAGATGTACGTGCACAGGTGTGTTTGTCCATACAAGCGTGTGCATGTGTGCATTTTGTATGCACATGAGTGTGCATATGCACCTGTAAGTGTGCATGCAGAGGACAGAGTAGTGTCTTCCTCAACCTCTCTCCGTCTTTTTTTCTTATGACAGAACTTCTCACTGAACTACCAGCTCACAGTTTCCAGTAGGCTGACTGGTTTATGAGCCTTCAGGATTCACCTGCCTCTGCCTTACCTGCAGCCAGACTGCATATTAAAACTCAGGTCTTCAAGCTTGCTTAGCAAACGCTGTTACCCAGTGAGTTATCTCCTCCATGCCCAGCAGCCTTTTTAGAGGAAAGAAACTTTGTACATTGAGCATAATTTAGGGTCCAAAGAGTATTCTAAATGAGCATCAAGTTTGTTCTTACTATCTTAGATGAATAGGCATTGATCCAACCATGCCTACCTGCGACTGTGCTGGAGCTCATGAGTTGTAACTTGTTCAAGGGATCCTGACAGGTGCTGTCCTGTGCTACTAACACTACGGGATTCAGCGTCCGGTGTGAAGAGTACAGTGTTTCAGCTGATTCGGCAGTAAATATCCAGTCTATAATCTGTACCAAGCGCTTGAACTAAAACGGTGAACAATGAGCATTTGTTTGCAACCTTTTGAAATTTTTGCATTCTAGGTAAAGAGAGAGAAAAACTCAAATAAAAGGTTGATAAAAGGTCGAATGTACACAGCTGTAACTCCTGCACTGGCTTTGGGGAGGAGGTGTGTGGGTCTCTGGAGTTCACTGGCCATTTCGCTTGTCCAAACTAGTAACCCACGGGTCAGTGAGAGACCCTGTCTCCAAAGCTACAGTGGAGAGAGACTTGAGAAGTCAGCCAATGTCGACCTTTGGCACACACACACACACACACACACACACACACACATATACTCAGACACACACACACACACACATGAGCTCAGGTTTTGATCAGATGAAAATATAAATGCAATGTAGATGTCCCAGCCATTGCTGAGCACTGAACAGTCATTTATCCTCAGCATTTGGGTCAGTTATGAGTTTCTGTAGTAACTGACACCAACTGCAAAGAAGTTCCTATGGCCAGAGAAATCACACATAACATCACACACACACACACACACACACACACACACACACACAAATGGGGAGGCTGGAGGATGGGGAAGAGTTCTATGAAACCTTGTCTACAACAGGATAATGAAATCCGGAACACAGCCCAGCTGTGACTACCTATGCAAGAAAGAACTGCACAAAAAATGTAACCTGCAAGTAGGAAAGGTCTGATTTGGAAGAAGAAATGGGTAGGCAGGAATGTGAGGCAGGTAAGAGAGAGCAGCTAGAGCGAGCCTGTTCATACCACTGCACATCTGTACAGAATTGTCCAAATTTAATGTATTCATGTGAAATAAAAATCTCTAAACTTATAGAAAACAGTGGTATACATAAAACAACATCAAGAAGAAGAGAAAAGCATTTAAAACATCTGTCTCATCAATGAGCACATGAACTCACAGAGACTGAGGCAGCAGGCACAGGACCTGCACAGGTCTGCACCAGGTCTTCTGTGTAAGCATAACAGCTTCAGGTTTCTGTTTGAATGGACTCCTGAATAGGTGAACGAGTGGGTCTCAGATTCTGGTGCCTTCTCTTGGGCTCTTTCCCTTCTCTTGGATTGTTCTGTCTATCTTCAATGTGATAGTTTTTGTTTTATCTTAATATATGCTATGTTGTTATATTTTGGTATTATCTCTTTGCTAGTGAGAGAGAGAAAGGAAGTACATCTGGATGGGAGAGGAGGTGGGGAGGACTGGGGAAACCTTAACTGGGATATATTTTGTGTGCAAAGAATCTATTTTCAATAAAAGGGTGAAATTTTCAAAGAACTAAAACACCTGCCTCATAAAATTTAAAAATTTGCATGATCTGAAGAGATTCTGGTTACCAAAGAGATAAAAATCGCAAGTTGGGAAAATGTCCCTAGTGCATGCTACTGACAAGGGGTTCCTTCATAGAATATACAAAGACATTGGTTGACTGGTACGGAAAGCATATTCTTTTCCAGTTTAAAAAAAATGAGATAGAGTCCTACCTTTCTAATGTCGCAACCCTTTAATACAGTTCCTGTGCTATTGGGACCCCTAAGCAGAAAACTAGTCCGTTGCTACTTCATAACTGTAATTTTGCTACTGTTATGAATCATAATGTAAATATCTTATATGCAGGGTGTCTGATGTGTGACTCCCAAAGGGGTCATGACCTACAGATTGAGAACCCCTGTCCTAAAGGCGCATTTTCACCGAAAATAACTAATAACTTAAAACTAGAAAATTCTCTCTTATTAGGAAACAAAGAAATGGAAATTGAAGTCAAAATTAAATACCTGTTTTACAGCCAGAGAGCTGTCATGAATGTGAACATTTATTTGGACATATTAAGTTTCACCTTATGGTTATCACACAGTTTGGTGGGAGCCTAGATGAGTGTTGACTCCTGGGAAAGGAAATAGCAACCCACATCTATCAGATCTTAGAGTGTGGCCACTGTGAGAGCGGTTACTTTAACAGCAGGACTTTTGGCACAAAAGTATCTCAACATTGCTAACATCCAACAATAAAAACAATACATAAAGTCCTGTTTATATACTGGAGTGCTACTTTGTAAGTAAATGAGCCTAGCATCCTCCCTGACCAATCTCTGAAACATACTCCTGACCAAAAAGAAAGACGTCTAAGCATGCAATTGGCATTAATCACTTCTATAAAATAAAACTGCAAAAAAAAAAAACATTTAGAGGCTAGAAAGGTGGCTCAGCAGGTGAAAGAGTTTGCCCTACAAGCCAGACAATCTGAGTTCTGTTCCTGGAACCTCGATGCAAGAAAAGAACTGACTTTGGAAAGCTGTCCTTTAATGTCCACATGCATGTTGTGGTCCTCAGCACATTATGCACAAAACACAATAGTAGTAGTAGTAGTATTAATAATTGAAAACTGTTAAGTCAGAAAGATGGTTCAGTGAGTGAAACACTCAGCATCCAGCCTAAAGACCCAATAGTGCAAGAGAACCGACTCATAAGTTATCCCCTGCCCTCCATAAATGTATGTACCCACAGACACACACAAATCATTTTTAATTAAAAAATGTTTTCTATAAATACAAAAAGTCAGTACTTCTTCAAGACAAGCCTATTGAGACTCAACGACAATGCCTGTCAGCATGGATCCTCAGGACACCTTAGCTGTGTCAGCAGGGGTTCTGGAGTTGAGCAGGGCCCTCTGGAGCTGTCCCCGGTGCTGAAACCGCGGCGGGTTTCTGGAGCTGTCCGTGGTTCTGACACGAATTCCTGCTAATCTTCCACTACAGACTTTTCCTCCTCAGTTGGAATGATTTCCTTTTGTGAACTACTTACCCTTGGTTACATTTATCTTTCATACCTCACCTTATATACATCCTGAGTCTTATATAACATCTGCTGAAGGCTTCTTTATGTTGTCTTGCCCTTCT